CATGTTTTTGCGAATGAGAATTTGACATGTTTTTGCGAATGAGAATTTGGCCTTTTTTTGCTTTGCGAATGACAATTCAGTATCTGTTGCAAATGACAATGTCATCGTACGCTTTGCGAATATTGTCAGCATCGGCGCTCCATATGTTTCGGTAGGCCCTATATTTAATGTAGAAAAATATTGTGATGCTTGAATCCCTGTTGTTATCATATAGCTAGTAGGACAGGACAATTGATCCAGCTGTAAGGTGCAATAAGTAAATAGTGAACGAAGTGAGAATAGTGAAAGGTTTTCTGTACTTGCGCAATCTTGTAATTCCAATCAGAAGCGGAAACATCTTCAAACAGATTTTCTACCAATTGCCTAAAAAAATGACATATTTTATGATGATGAAAGAAATACAATATATACACATGGCATAAGTTGCTTTTCATTAGTACAAAAAAAATTCTATTAACTGCTATAACTATAAGGGCAATAAACCGAACTGTATCGTGAAACATAATACCATATAATTACCCGACAGTTTTCAAGTGATTGCAACATGTATATCCTACAACACTATCTTCCAGCAGTGAATCATAATATGTGATCTGACGTTGGGACTTATTAACAACCTGCAATACCATATCAACCATGTATTAAATAATTATATAATATGATATATTGTGTCCGGTGGAGATTGTCATGAATTGGTATGAAAACGTGTTCCTTGTTGAAACAACCTCCCTGTAATAATGTAATCATGAATTAATAATATGTATGTGTTGTTTTATTGATCTCATTTGAAGCTGTTAAAAATTATAACCTTTTCAAGCCATCTAATGAATGATTTTGTCCATCCTTCTTTTTTAAACTTGGTAAAATAGAAGGTTTCAAGGAAAGCATATTTCATGTTTATTTGGTCCTGTAAAAGAGAGTAGGCCTAATATACATTAGCTGTACGTTATTCTAGATGTCAAACAATATGCTGTGGAGTATAACAGAAGCATAATAACAGTAAGTTATATAGTAAGTAATAAGTTATACTTTACCATGTAGTTCAAGGTATACTCGTCCAAAAGCTTAAGATAGAAATTTATAATCTATAAAAGTGAATGACCGAGTAGTTATTCACATATACTTACAGATAACTGACGTTTTGAAAAATGTTGCTACTGTAATATAAAATTTATATCCATATACGTAGATGTTTGTAACTCACTTCGTCATTCAACCTGTGACCATGACTCAAAAGATTAAGTGTTTGGTTGGATATTTTCTGGCCAAAGCCCTCAACAACAGTTTTCTCCCCAGGCCCAGATGCAATATTTTCTTCATCTGTGAACAAAAATAACAAATTAAAGTTTTTGCAAACACCAAATTCAACATTTATACTAGGACATTACACGAAGGCAGTTACTACTCAGTACCATTTTCACTTGCCACATCAATAGTAACCGGCTTTTCTTTTCTGTCAGGCAATCTAGTCGAGGACTAAGAAAACATTGCATGTAATTATAGTTTCAGGGCATTACTTTAATTGTAGTCAATTCAGGAGCTATTAATTTATTTACGTTTAAGATAGTATAGCGTCATATTACTGTATAACAGAAATAATCTTGATGTCAGGGAATAAGCACCTTTGTTGCGTACAGAAGTATATACGCTTGCTGCTTCTCGACTTCTGAATATGTGCATTCAGTTATCTAAATATAGTAAATAATTACGTAAAAATACAAGATCAGATTTGCATGATCTTTTTGAAATACGAATTGTTCTCGAAACAAATTTACAGTAGGCATTGCAGTATATAATTTGCATGTACCTTTTCGTCGTCTGCCAAAACCCACTCATTTGTGGTGTCATTCCTGATATAGGCCACGTAATGTCCATTGTGTACCTGAGATCCTCGGTGCACAATAACTCCCGTAAGCTCATACCAGGACTCCTAAAATTCAAAGGGAAAATTAACTTTGTATCAGGGACAAGAGACAGTAATTTTGACACGTCTTAGTATTCTTACAGTATTATTGACATCAATCTCGTCAGCCAAGGAATGATATGGTGACGCTGATAAAGAGATATGTTCTGGAAATGAGCACTCGTCTTCTAGTTTCACGATTTTTTCTTCGTGAAAAGCAAATCTATAAAATTATACTGACAGTTTAGTATGTAATAGTAATGTATATTATACAAAACAAATAATATTTTATAGTAAGAAAATTTTAAATTCAATACCTGTTTAAGTGAATGATCAAAACTTTGGGACGTCTACTGATATCTTTAAACATGGATTTTTCCTCCATTGAACCACATCTAAAATGAGAAAAGTCATCAGTGATTATGGGAACTGCATGGTGCTTTCTGATTGACAGCTCCTATCCCTACCCCTAGGCCCTAGTCCTAACCATCAAATAATAGGAGAGCCAATCAGAAACCAGTACACCTGTCGCAGGTGATAGAAAATAGCCAATCACTAGATACACTGTTTTTTTGTATTATTGGGGTTTTTTGTCCTTAAGGCAGTTTTCTATTACGTTTGAGCATTACGTTTCACAGTATGAGAAGCCTTCTATCTTGCATTCTGCTAGATATTCACAGAGCGACACTTCAAGACTGGCCTTTATTAAAGAGAAAATTAATTTACAACATTATCTTAGAGGATGGAGGAGGAGGGGGGGGTTATGCTAAAATCACCTATCCCACAAGTAAAGGGGTAGCACTATATTTTTGCAAAAAATCTTGAAAAATTGGAGACATGGTGTAGATCTGATCATTGGTATGCAATATCACCCAATTGTTACAACTGTTGGTAATTACTTCACGTGTGCATATTATGATGTCCTGAGGAGGGTAGGGTAGGACTACGTAGGAGCCCCCTCCACTCCTTGGGACATAATAGCAGGTATACATGAAGTACAAGCCCAAAGGTTACTTGGATTGGTTAATGGTTATACAGCCAAATAATTAATGAATCCAGATAGTTGTGACATCAAGTAACAGGATAGGAATATTGATAGCAAACAACTAAGTTAACACCTCTTGGCTCTTTCACTTTCAACTTAACAGGTATAGTGTGGATTGTCACAAAAAAGTAGAGTGAAACTCAATTATAATAACATATTTTGACCGGTAAATTAAAACTCTCAGAGCTTTTAGTTTTTTAGTTTTTAGTGGATGCAGTGCATATTGAACTCGGGTGTTCTAGTTATTTGTTCATGCTACTCTCGGAGTGCAGACTCCACACTGGGCAAGCTGAAAAACAGCTTGAACGTGGTAAGATTCGAAGTCACAACCTTTGGTATGCTAGTCCAACTCGAACTGACTTGACCTTGTAGCTCAGTTGGTAGAGCCAATTAATGACTAGCAAACCAAAGGTCACAGGTTCGAATATCCCACTGCGGTCAGGTGTGGAGTCTGCACTCGGAGTAGCATGAACAAATAATTTGTTCTTTCACACCTTCAAAGGAATTGACAAAGTGTTGAACTCATCCTTGTTTGCAGACTTCCCTCTGCATTTGTAACAGGTCACTAGTAAATGACAACAATTATTATATATATTATTATTAACTATGTCCATGATGATAACTGATAAAAGGGTGAGTCTAGTAAGGGTCAGTGAAATTGCTTACAGTCTCACAATAGAGTCAAATTAACCCTTTAAGTTCCCATGCAGCCTACTTTATTATTTTACTCTGTCTAACTCCAGACTATTTTACTCTGTCTAACGCCAGACGATTTTACCATGTCAAGGGGAGGGTGCTGCCACTCAATGGGTTTTTCACCCCAGTTGGTTTTCTGTGGATGGTGATTATAAATACATCATACCCATACCATTTGTTAATAGCTCTCCCTGGCATAAGCTTTGCAGTGTTGGGTATTTTTTTAATACACCAAGTAAAAATTGCTGTGCATCATGTTGGTAGCCATATTGAAGACCTCCAAATTCTAAAATAAAATAGAGTATTAGACAGGATATTAAAGAAACTATGAACAAGGCCACTAGTATAACTTGAAAATGGAACCTCTAAACAGAAGGTCCCTGGGAAGCTTAAGACAACAAAAAATAAACAAATATTGATAGACAAAAAATGTTGTTATAAAAATAAAA